ACAGTGATATTTTGTAAAATACAGTTGCCTTTGTTTTGTAAAAGAGTTTCAAATAAAATTATTTTAAAAGCCAGGCACTTTATCAACCCGCCACGATATCACGTTGAACATGAATGCGGGTGCGCATCCCACCACAAGGGATTGATCAACGCCAAAAATTATCTTGTCTTATCTTATCTACGTAATATGAAGTCCATCCAATTGAATATTTTCAACCTCTTTTTTGGACTTCTGTTTTTGAATTGTCCAATTACTGACAATACTTCTTCGAACTGCGCCTTTCGTTTGGTTTTAGAAGCCCCTTATGTACTGATCCTGTAATGGCCTGCCATATACATAACATTTTCGTATTCAGAGTGAAAGGAACAAGAGGTGGAACAGCTAGGATCTCCCAAATTACAATATGTCCTTGTCTTCACAATGTTTTTGTGAGCAAACCATTTTTCATCCCCAGCTATCATTTGGTTCACAAAGGCTTGATTTAGCTTTGAACAAGCAAAGATATTTGTATGACAATTCGATCATCCAAATGTTTTTTTGGTAGCTTTAAGTATTGAGTTATAATCTTCTTATTTCATTTAGATGTTTTCTTTTCCATAAATTTTTCAAAGCATCAATTTTTTTGTGTGTATTATTGCAGATTCTAGTAATGTATATTTAGCTTGAAGAGTTTTTAAAACGATTACACTCCTAAATGTCATCACTAATTATTTAAATGAAAATCGTGAGTGATTCACCGCTTCTTACCGTCAAGCTGTCAAAGATTATCAGTGGATGAAAGAAAATTATCAATGGATGCAATTCTTTCATTTATCTCCAGGAGCTTGTACATTACTGACCACTTTACATGTGCTTTAAATGTGAATTAATGTGAGCCTGTACGATTGCGTATATTCTGACGCTTTTTCTAGTGTTTCCTCCACGATAATAGAATAAGTTTTAAAGCTTTCTTCGACATGTGGGAAATGATCCAACTTTGCCATGAATTTGTACCAAGCTTGCTCAAGGTTGATGAATGCGATATGATTTTGCCAAAGGTATTAACATTCACTATTGAAAATTACAATAGTACGGTATTAGATAGAAGATCTACAGTCATCAACTTGACTGCCTTGATTTTCCGATAGTAATTTAACGTATTGATGTGTGGTATTCCTAAAGTTGACATAAGCAAAATAGAAGATTACTGCGCCTTAAAACATGGTACTGTAATGGTGATAAAATACGAAATCGCGCAATATATCCCTTATCGCTCCCTATCGCGCAATATTGAAGGAACGTGACATTTGAAGTGGAAAGAAAAAAAGGATCCAACCGCAGTGGTAGAGGCGCCAAAGTGATACGTGGACCTGACTCTTGCTTGCGCTCAACCAAGGTCCATCACGAATTCTTTCGCTCCTGGATCAGTAAACGCAAAAGCTCATCTAATCTAGCTTATCTTATTAATATTATTACAAACAACATTCTAACTGACGTGAAGAGCTAGTAAGCGTTAAAAAAAGCAAAAAAAATGTTTATCTGCTATCTGTAGCTTTGTCTTAGTTACAATTAGATAAATTCTATATTCTGAAGATGTCAACAAAGCACCCCAAAGTTTCCTAGTAAACAATATTGAACAAGCATGAAAGTGCTTGAGCCGGAATATCATTGCGTTTTGCAAAAGTATTTCGTCAAAAATATAATATAAATTTTCAGTGTTTCTTGTGATGTTGTCGGTGTTTGCGTACACAGTACATCATTACAGAAAAGCAAGAACGCAGAGAATCTTGCACAACAGAATGAAGAAACGTCTTAAAATTAATAGGAAAGAGCAGTAAAAGTTTGAATGCTGTAAAAAAACACTATTCATCAAAAAAATCTAATTGCTAGGACAATTAGTTAACAGATAAAAGGCTTAAAGAAATTTTGGACTATAAATATTAAATCCAAAAATATGATGCGAAAAAAATAGCAATCATTGCTGAAAAAATTATTATACAAATTACCCTACTCAATTTCGTACTATTTAACCATAATTTGAGCTCTTGCGCTTCTTGTAGATCATTTTATATAACGCTGCTGTCGGATGGGCAGCAGATAGATCCTCCTTCTGCGGAAGACATATTCGCTGTCTGAGTACCGGTTCGGTTCAAAAAATTGTATAGTAGCTCAAAATATAAGGAAATGGACTAATGATCGCAAAACGAGAAGTGACACGTTAGTGCAGCCGGTGACACATTGGACCGGACATCTGGAAAAGTGGGTTAAGGTTTTCCCTAAAAGTAGTGATTTGCTGGCCATCACTAAGGATATAATGTAGGAAAAATCGGGGACGTTTTAATTCAAAACATTACGCTAAACTCACCGCAAAGTTCAACCAAATTTGAAACCAGGCTCCTCCCGTACAAAGAATCATCTCCCAAACCACTTGGCTTATAGCAGCAGCAGAATGAATGGCGCTGCTAAAAATAGGAGCTTTGGGCGAACGATATTCTCCGACGCAGCAGCATGAGCTACACGCAGACTTGATGACATTTAGGCGAGTTCGATTCCGGCTTTCAAGCTAACCAGGCCTTTCATCTATCATGGGTGGGTGAACTTGTACCAAATTTATCTGGCTGGGTAAGCAGTAGTAACTTGGCAGTATAGACTACTATCATTTGAACGCTTTTACCGTAATAGTAAGACAAAGAATAGGTGGCACACTTTCGTGAGGAGATAGATTACATCAGTGTTTATCCTTATCCGATTAACAATATTATGCTCAACAATGAATCTAAACATCACCAGGAAATATGTATAATTATATAGAAGAGTTAGGAAGAGTTTGCTACACATATCGTAATCTGTAAGATGATAGTTACTACAGGTATAAGGTTTCGATTCTTCCTACGAATGCAAACGCCAAACGTACAAACTGCCGCATTCTCGTAAAGTCAACTCCATAGTTTTCTTATCTAATCTATGGTGGTTTATTTTTGATAGATGAATGATACTTTGTATCTCTTTGAGATGCTCATGTTGGCTAGGAATTGTAAAAAATTGTGACTAGAGACCGAAATTTAGAAGAGATCTCTCAAGCGCTTTGGACGCTGTTCGTAGTATTTTTGAGCAATATTAGTACATTTGGTATTAGCCATCTCTCCACAACGAAGCAATGTACTGGAAGGACTGTCGAGACGAAAAAAATAGCACGTAGTTTGAGGTCGATTTTTGGTTATTAAACATTTTCAGAAGAGCAAATGCCACCCATGTGTAAGACAATGCAAAACGAGCTGCTCACCTACGCACTATTAGTTTTCACAAACTAGGCCTTTCTGCAATTGGTTTACAGTAGAAAGTTTTTCTGTTTTATAAGGTTTATTTGCCATCTTCTGTGCTTCTTTAACACACCTAGCTCAAAACAAGGTGTCATCCGCAAAAGAAAAGTTTGAAAACAATTTTCTATCAAGTGGCCTGCCTTTTTCCTCCTAATTAAGTGATTTTGTTATAGTCTGCGAGGCAGCGACAAACTGCATACACGGCATAACGTGGTGATGTTAAACACTTTTTTCTAAAGAGGATGGTGAGGAGTCGATGAAATAGCTCTATTTTTTATACAATAGTGCAAATACAATAGCAGGCTTGACGGAATTGCACCCGGTTTGACGCCATCAAACACTTTTTCGTAGTCTCCGAATCCGGCAATACTCTAAACCTATCTTTCAAAAATATTTATAATTTTTAATTCAAACACAGAGTTTGAAAATAAACAGGGTCAAGCAAGCAGTTGAGCTGGATACTCCATGTAGGCAGAAAATTGTGGGATGGGCCGAGGTTCGAACGCAGGGTATGTCGCATTCAAAATGAGAACCATGAACTTAGACTGCCCGTACGTGGAAATTATTGATAGAGAAAAAAGAAAGAGTAAAAAAATTTTTGTGGTAATAATACTAATATAAATAATATAATATAATATCATAATAAATCAATAATTGGAGCGCTATTTCTTCAATTAGTCAAAAGAACTATAATTACAGAATGTCTGCAAATGCAAAGAGTAAAACAAATAATATTTTACCGGTGATATACCCAATCAAAGAGGAACAAAAACTCGATAGCTCATTTGTGCAAAACAATACGCAACACCGGGATTCGAGCCCGGGACCTTTCGCGCCCAAAGCGAGAATCATACCCCTAGACCATCCGGCCGACGGCAATCGAGGCACGATTGTTGAACAATAAAGAATGACAGCAGCTTTACATTATAGTATTGCCCAGCATATCTTCGACAAAATATTAATGAAATTCAAGATATTTCATTTGTTGAAAAGATTGGGCCGAACCGGGATTCGAACCCGCAACCTCTCATACCCTAAGCGAGAATCACACCCCTAGACCATCCGGCCGATGGCAATCGTGGCCCCACTTTTCAACGATAATGTTAACTTAAAGAATGTTAATTTAAAATTTTGTGACAGATCCACTTCACATTTTGACTCTAAGGTGTGAGGTAAAAACATATTTATATTCTTCAGTCTCCGTTCAAGAAATAATTTCAACGTTATTAATGATACTTTTCCAAATTTTCATCAGTTTGACTTTCTAGTGTGACTCTCAGTGTTTCTGGGAAAACACATCTCTAATATTTAATCGTCGTGCAAAAATTATCAGTTGACTCTACGAATAATATACCAAACCTTGCTAGCTCATTTAGAAAAAA